CAGTGATCTTGTGACCTGAAGCTGGATTTCAGAACGAGGCTTGGCTCCTATAGAGAAACAGGGAAGTGGGTAGGTTGTGTGGAGGTTGTATATCAATATTACAATTTGCTGTGATTATTGTGTGCGGGTCGTGCTTTGGAAATACGTTTTACACATTGCACAGCGTCATATTAGGCAGCAGGGACGGTGAGTGCAGCATATGAGTGCTGCTTCCGTTCTGGCCCCGGCATCATCACTAAGCGCGCAAGGCGGCTGGTAGCAGCACTCGGTTACCATAGAAGCAAAGTAGCGTTCTGCACAGTGGGATTGTTTCCGGTTCCTGTGCGTGTCAAAGGCAGAATGCACATGCGTACAATGTATTATTCCTGTGTGTGATTCTATGTGTGCTGTTACCGAAAGGCGTGGGGATTGTTGTGACTGCTGGACAAAGCGAGGTGTACCTGTCAGGCCTGAATAGTGTACAACAATATTGGAATGGTGTTGGGAAATATTACAGTTGGGATGTCTGTAGCGGGGGAGGTAATATTACAGTTGGGATGTCTGTAGCAGGGGAGGTAATATTACAGTTGGGATGGCTGTAGCGGGGGAGGTAATATTACAGTTGGGATGTCTGTAGCAGGGGAGGTAATATTACAGTTGGGATGTCTGTAGCGGGGAAGGTAATATTACAGTTGGGATGTCTATAGCAGGGAAGGAATATTACAGTTGGGATGCCTGTATCAGGAGAGGTGATATTACAGTTGGGATGTCTGTAGCGGGGAGTAAGTATTACAGTTGGGATGTCTGTATCAGGAAGGTGATATTACAGTTGGGATGTCTGTAGCGGGGAGGTAATATTACAGTTGGGATGTCTGTATCAGGGGAGGTAATATTACAGTTGGGATGTCTGTAGCGGGGAAGGAATATTACAGTTGGGATGTCTGTATCAGGGGAGGTAATATTACAGTTGGGATGTCTGTATCAGGGAAGGAAGTATTACAGTTGGGATGTCTGTAGCAGGGGAGGAATATTACAGTTGGGATGTCTGTATCAGGGGAGGTAATATTACAGTTGGGATGTCTGTATCAGGGGAAGGTAATATTACAGTTGGGATGTCTGTATCAGGGAAGGAATTAATATTACAGTTGGGATGTCTGTAGCAGGGAGGTCTGTAAATAATATACAGTTACAGTTGGGATGTCTGTAGCGGGAAGGTAATATTACAGTTGGGATGTCTGTAGCGGGGAAGGTAATATTACAGTTGGGATGCCTGTAGCGGGGAGGTAATATTACAGTTGGGATGTCTGTAGCGGGGGAAGGTAATATTACAGTTGGGATGTCTGTAGCGGGGGAGGTGATATTACAGTTGGGATGCCTGTAGCGGGGAGGTGAAGATATTACAGTTGGGATGCCTGTAGCGGGGAGGGTAATATTACAGTTGGGATGCCTGTAGCGGGGAAGGAAGTATTACAGTTGGGATGCCTGTAGCAGGGAAGGAAGTATTACAGTTGGGATGCCTGTAGCGGGGAGGTGATATTACAGTTGGGATGCCTGTAGCAGGGAAGGTAATATTACAGTTGGGATGTCTGTAGCAGGGGAAGGAAGTATTACAGTTGGGATGCCTGTAGCGGGGAAGGAAGTATTACAGTTGGGATGCCTGTATCAGGGGAGGTAATATTACAGTTGGGATGTCTGTATCAGGGAGGTAATATTACAGTTGGGATGCCTGTATCAGGGAAGGTAATATTACAGTTGGGATGTCTGTAGCAGGGAAGGTAAGTATTACAGTTGGGATGCCTGTATCAGGAGAGGTGATATTACAGTTGGGATGTCTGTAGCGGGGAAGGTAATATTACAGTTGGGAAATCTGTATCAGGGGAGGTAATATTACAGTTGGGATGTCTGTATCAGGGGAGGTAATATTACAGTTGGGATGCCTGTATCAGGGGAGGTAATATTACAGTTGGGATGTCTGTATCAGGGGAGGTAATATTACAGTTGGGATGTCTGTATCAGGGAAGGTAATATTACAGTTGGGATGTCTGTATCAGGGAAGGTAATATTACAGTTGGGATGTCTGTAGCAGGGGAGGAAGTATTACAGTTGGGATGTCTGTAGCAGGGAAGGAATATTACAGTTGGGATGCTGTAGCAGGGGAAGGAAGTATTACAGTTGGGATGCCTGTAGCAGGGGAGGTAATATTACAGTTGGGATGCCTGTAGCAGGGAAGGTAATATTACAGTTGGGATGTCTGTAGCGGGGAAGGAAGTATTACAGTTGGGATGCCTGTAGCAGGGGGAGGTGATATTACAGTTGGGATGCCTGTAGCGGGGAAGGAAGTATTACAGTTGGGATGCCTGTAGCGGGGAAGGTAATATTACAGTTGGGATGCCTGTAGCGGGGGAAGAAGTATTACAGTTGGGATGCCTGTAGCGGGGAGGTAAGTATTACAGTTGGGATGCCTGTAGCAGGGGAGGTAAGTATTACAGTTGGGATGCCTGTAGCGGGAAGGAAGTATTACAGTTGGGATGCCTGTAGCGGGGGAGGTAATATTACAGTTGGGATGCCTGTAGCGGGAAGGAAGTATTACAGTTGGGATGCCTGTAGCGGGAAGGAAGTATTACAGTTGGGATGCCTGTAGCGGGGAAGGTAATATTACAGTTGGGATGCCTGTAGCGGGGGAAAGTATTACAGTTGGGATGCTGTAGCAGGGATGGTAATATTACAGTTGGGATGCCTGTAGCGCAAGGAAGGAAGCATTACAGTTGGGATGCCTGTAGCAGGGAAGGGTAATATTACAGTTGAGATGCCTATAGCGGGGAAGGAAGTATTACAGTTGGGATGCCTGTAGCAGGGAAGGTAATATTACAGTTGGGATGCCTGTAGCGGGGAAGGAAGATTACAGTTGGGATGCCTGTAGCAGGGATGGTAATATTACAGTTGGGATGCCTATAGCAGGGAAGGAAGTATTACAGTTGGGATGCCTGTAGCGGGGAAGGTAATGTATAAGGATCATACAGCTAGATGTTTTAAGTTTGCTTGAAGTTTGTAAACTCTTTGAAACATTGATCAGCTGAGTTATTATATGCAGTCTATTCTGTATTTAAAGGATAGCTTCACCTTTTTGCAGAAAATAATAAATGCACATATTTTTGCAATAATAAATGTTCATTTAGTATTTCTTGCACAGAAGTGTGCAGAACATTGCACCCGCGATCAGTGGATGGTGCATGCATTGTCCATCTCCTGCAGACATGTCCTCTGCCTTTCTGCCCTTACCTCCTGTACAGACTTTCTGTTAGAAAGCTGGAGGAACTGTCAGTGGGCTAAGAGGGCGCTCATCACCCATGCATCTCTGCTGTGTGGCAGACAGGACTTGTATTGTTCTCATTCACAGTTTCCCATGAATGAATGATGCAGCTGTGCAGGTGGGGCCCCACACAGCTATTCTGTTTTCAACTGTGACATTGTGTAAGGGGAGAAGAACCCCCACTCACTGTTACAGGGAGGGGGGATCGGGGGTGCAGGGAGAGGTGCTGGAGCACAGTTGGGAGACAGTTCTCACTCCATGAATGGATGTGTCTAAATTGCGACCTTCATGGCAACAATTGGAATTTCATACAAATGTTACAGATTCTATGTGTCTTTAGTGATTGGGTTTAACAATCCGTCTCTTCTTTAAATCTCCTTTCTGTTATTGAGCTGTAGACACATTTGGGAATATTTGCTCTGTTTCATGAAATTTCTACCTCCCTGGTCACCAGCTTTTTGTTACTACTCTGTGTAGTAAGGCTTCATTCACACTTGTGTGTCTTGTCGTGCTACTTTGAGGTCCAAAGTCGCATGACAAGTCGCCGCCCCATGTTTCCCAATGGGTGCTATTCATATCAGTGCGATTTCAAGAGACAGAGACTTCAAAGTAGTTCCTGCACTAATTTGATCTGACTTTACCGCGACTTGAGGGCCATAGGCTTCAATGTACACCCTCCAAAGTAGCATGAAAGTAGCACCGGAATGTTGTACATGCGACTTGTGTGGGACTTTGTACAGCAGAAACAATTATCCTTGGTCAAAGCCAAAGTCGCACTCATCCAAAGTCGCATCAGAGTTGTGCCAAAGTCGCATCAAGTCGCACTGTAAAGTTGCAATGAAAATCGCACGATTTTGAAGTCACATAAGTGTGAATGAAGCCCAAGTGAAGCATATTTTAAAAGACAGCTAAAATCCATCTGGCTGATCACCATTTCACTTGCTATCTTTCTTAAGGCAACACACAAAGCACTCTTTGAAAAATTGTTTATTGGTGGAACAGTTTGATAACACCATAGGGATATTAAGCACATTCCTTGTTTTATCTATGTACGCAGGGGTGCTCAACCTGCACATGTGGCCCAAGTCCTTAAACCAGGGAAGTACTTGCCTGTGGTCAGAAACCTGTTGATCTCGATCTGGGCTTGCCAATCCGCCATCCCAGAGCATCGAGCCAGCAGCAAAGTAAGCAGGCGGCCGCAGAGAAAGCAGAAACCATGTAAGCTTCCTCTGTAGTGCCAATTCCTGTCCCAGGCAGAGTGATACCAAGTGCACTTCATCTGGGACCTTTCTAGCAGCCTAGAGAGTGATGCCAGCAAAAGCTGGAAGAAGAAAAGCAGGTCAGTGTAGTAGCCTCCCTAGCGGTCTGATTATGTCCATATTTCTGTGCTCAAAGCGGTACATTTTTTTTGCATGGAAATATGTATATTTTTTTTTTTATTGTAGGCCTGTAATTTTTAGGAATAACTCACTGAAATCTGTCCGAACAAGAGTCTAGTAAACATCCTGGGTATGTTAAAATTTGAAACACGAAATCATAAATTATAATTTAATAAATAATCATAAAAATAATATAATAATTTAATTAAATAATATAATCAGACCAAAAACACTGAAATTTTAAATATAGCGCCAAGTTCGCACATCACTGAGCAAAGTCACAAAATCATTTTCAGTGTCTGATGTCGAATTTCCCCACGAATCATTATCACTCAATTCTGCAAGTGGTTCTAATTTACTATCGCTTTTCTTTAGCTAGTCTAAAACCGCTTTTGACCTAAAGGGATGCTGTTTGGACACCATGGATGTTTCTCAGTTTCCAGGCAGAAAGAACAGTAAAAATGCAGGCAGGGCACAGGACAAAGCACTAGGGACAAAATGTATGTGAAATGGTTTGATACAGTAATGTTTTTCTATGTTAGTGAATTTAGTGAATGTCACTTTTACAACTTTCAAATTTCCCGCCAGTTCCATCCCCCGTACGTCTCAACGTCGCAGGGATCGGAACCCAGAAGACAGATGCCGGCATCCGTCGGTGGACATTGCCAGGGATACTGCAGGAGGGACATCGCGGGAGCGCAGGACAAGGTAAGTGAAAAAGAGATCCCGGAGCAGCGCTGCAAGGTATTCCCGAGTGTAGCTCGGGGTTACCGCTTGTGGTGCTAAAATTTTACCCCGAGCTACACTCGGGAATACCGTCAGGGAGGTTAAACAACACATACACTATAGTTTTACAATAGGCATACTAGCACCTATAAAATGGTTAACAACTATTAGGCTGCTTTCACAGTGATCCGTGGGTGCAGCGCAGGGTGCACCTGTAGCTTTCCTGTGGGTTGGCTGCACTGAGCCATAGACTTCAATTATATCCTGCAGGTTTGATGAGCTTTCTGAAAGTACACATCACCCACAAGATATAATAGAAGTCTTTGGCAAAGTGCAGCTAACCCACAGGAACGCTGTAGGTGCTCTGTGCTGCACCCATGGTGCAAGTAAACCACAGCGAATCAGTGTGAAAGCAGCGTTATATGGGGCTCAGAACAGTAAGGGTTTGTTTTGGTGCAGTAAAACCACATAGTGGAGATTTTGTTTCTACCACACCCCCCACCCACTGGTGCGGTGCCAGGGGTTGTAATGTCAACCCTGCCCCATGCTCCAGGGGACCCTTGTGGCCTTCCTGTCATATTCTGTTTTACACTTGGACAGGAGGGATATAGAGGCACCACTCCTCTCCATTTTCTTCCTGCAGCCTCTCCTCCTCTCCTCGCTGGCATTAAGCGGCTGCAGGAAGAAAATGTTCTATATGCTATTCAAAAAATCCAAATTCTGAACCATTTCCTTTCATTGTGCTTCTTGCTCTTCAGAAGGTTAAGAACCCCTGATGTAAAAGGTTGTGATTATAGGAATGTTTGTAGCACAGCACTCCTTTACATATTTTCTTCTACCCTTATATGTAACACATCTATGACTGTCAGATCATTCCTTGATTTTTTTTTTTATTAATTCTTTAGAGTGTAAGCTGTTTTGTGAAGTATCCACACTTCTGGCCTTAGTGTAGCCTGTAACATCATAGTTTTGGCCCTTGTATTGACTTCTGTTTGCAGAAGGATGCCGTAGACACTGGCACTGTACAGACCAAATACATTGACACCCTTTAGATCAGTACATAAATATTGTGTGTGTTGAGAATGTTATTAATATTCTTGTATACTCTGTCATCCAATAAAACATTGAACAAGAAAAAGTAAAACTTATTGAAAAAATGTATTCATGTCTACTCCACATGTGCACAGATAAAAACACTCCACACAAGTGTCATCACGGATTGTGGACACTGTTGTTAATGACAGTCTAATACTGCATCCTCACTTCTCCAAACATGTTGTACTCTGTATATTTAACTCTGCGTTGTGTCTATTGACTTATGATTTTTGTCCTCAATCTGAACATACTGTGTAAGCGTCAGTTTTCAGTAACAATAACAAATCCTGTATCTCTTCCTTTTTCGTTAGATTCTTCATCTCTGACATTCAAATGGAAGACAAGCTGCATGAGATGGTGATAAAGGCAGCTGCTGTTTATAAGAACAGGAAAGCCATATGTTTCCAATCGTACCAAGGGCCTTCCCTATTCTACACTTATGGGGAGATGATGCAGCTAGCTGAAGAGCTTACTTGCTTCCTTAAATCCCTGCTCAATGGTTTACAGAAATGTGTGATTGGGCTCTTCTGTCAACCAGGTAGACAGTTGCCATCATGGATTTTAGGGTGAGTTTGCATCCGGCACTTATGAGCTACAGTCTTTATTGGAGAGGAGTTTAATGCCATTATAAGAAAAATAATAGATTGGAACTCTTTGACCAGGGTTTAAGCCCAACTCTGGGCTGGAAACAAAATACCCTTGCAGTGGGGCCCCTGCACTGCAGGGTAAAATACTCGTTAATTCTGAGCTGTAGATATAGAGGCTGTATTTTCTACCTTACCTCCTCACTTTGAGGTGGTCTTGCATGCTCCTCTTCTCTCTGACACTCTGGCCTGTGGGCAGATCCTCTGGGAGAGATTTACTAAAACCATTGTACACAGAATCTGGTACAGCTCTGTATAGTAACCAATCAGCTTCCAGGTTTTATTGTTAAAGCTTAATTGAACAAGCAAAAGTTAGAAGCTGATTACAGGTTACCATGGCCCTGTCTTAGTAAATGTCCCCCTCTGTGTCTACACGTACGATATTGGACTATTAGTCCTGCATGTATGTGCAGGAGTCTAGCGTACCACTGCTGCAGGGAGCGTAATAGAGAAGATTCTGCAGGGGAACCAGTCACACAGATTGAGGGAGTAAATGTGTGGGCTCCACTGCAAGGGTATTTTGTTTCTTGTGCCTGGAGTTGGGCTTTAAAATTGACAATTAAACCAAACCTGTCATAATAATTAAAAACCCATACCTACCACCTGTCTTGTGCAAGATACCCTCCAGTGTCTAACGTACATTAAAGTGAAACTAAAGGTTTTTGTTTTTTTTGCTTTAAAAATTAAAAATATGTTCTGTTTACCTGCTCTGCAATGGTATTTTATAGAGCCGTTCCCTACCTCCTCTTCTGGAGTCTGACGCTGTCTGTCCCTCCATTGCGAGTGCTCCCTCAGCAAGCTGTGTGCAAAGGAGACACCCATGCCAGCAAGTTCCCAACCCAGGCTGTGTACATCTATAGATACACACAGTGCCTGTAGGCCACAACCCCCCCCCCCCCCCTCCTCACAGGAATTTGACAGCAGCCGGAGCCAATGGCTCCCGCTGCTGACTGTATATTCTGTGAAACCAGAAAGTGTAGGAGTGTAGCTGCACATGGAACAGCTCTGGATTGGTTAGAGGATCCAGGTAAGTGTTTAGTGCCAGGGGAGGTTAGGACAGTTAGTGGGGTGTTTTTTGTCTTAATACCTACAATGCATTAAGGTAAAAAAAAAACAAATTTGACTTTAGAACTACTATAATTACCCACCACTTCAATAGCCACTGCCATATCCATATGCAAAATTACCTAGGCAGTTACTCACAATGTTAAGTATTGGTAACAGTTGTGCACACAGTAGTATGCCACCTATCCCTTGTGTTTCGATGCAGGGATCTAGGAATTGTCCACTCATCGGCCCCGAGCACTGCTTTGTAGGCGGCATGGTACAAGCCCCTAATGCCCTGGGATACTTAGATTTTGAATAAACCTCAACAGGGATAAATGGGCTGAGGGTGAGACTAAAGATTAGAAGTTTATGCACTGGAGACTGCCTAACATAGAGTGGTTGTGTGTTTTTAAGGATTTATATTTCATGACAGATTTGCATTTACTGAAAGCTCCCATTTAAGAATATAATGGAAAGCAGTGGGGTTCTTGTGCAGTTAAAGTGGGGGAAACCCATAAAATATATTGCCAGTGAGAAGTGTAAAAAATATAAAAGGGCATCTTGGAAGTGCCATTGTTTTCTGAAAATTAAAGTGTATCTAAACCAAAAAAATCAAAATCCAAAATATTGCAGCCTACCAGTCCTTAGATGTGGCAGCTGCATTAGTTTTTTGCTTTTCAGGATAAGAATATTTTCAACATGTGCAAAAAATATTTGTTGTTCTAGCAGTGTCCTTGTTGCTTCCTGTGATCTTAAAAGAAGGCACAAACATCCTTATCTCTAGTGCATAAACTACCAGTCCCATTAATCTATCATGAATGAAGGTAGACATGTTTGAAGTCCAGCCTGTTTGACAATCATGGCTGCCTTAATAGATGCAGAGGAGAAAAGGCATCTATATGAAGCTTTGATCAGGAAGTGTTAATCGCAGGATTACCAGTTGAAAATAAAGGAAAGAAGCCTGGAAAAAAGAAAATAAATGCAGTCACCCTACCTAAGGACTGTAATCTTCATAATATTAAATTGTCTGTTTTTGGATTTAGATATGCTTTAAACTTTTTATATTTTATACATATATCTCTGGCAATAAATACATTGCTTTAAAGTGAATCTTTTTCCTGAGACTAAGTTTACACATGCACCAAGAATAGGCATTTCATCTGCGATTTTAAAGCCTGTCTGTCAACACTCTGTGCCGATTATGTCCATTGCAGCTGATAATGCAGTTCGCATGGTCATGTTTTGTGGTGCTTTGCGTCATGACAAAAATTATCCAGCATGTATTGTTCAGCTTGGTTTACAGCTTTCTGAACACCTTCATTCATGTGAATGTGAACATGACACAGATTCCTCACAAACATCCTTATGGTGTTTACAGTGCAGTTAGATGTGTTTAGAAACTGTTACTAGCCGGTTGTGATTGTACAAGAATTGCTATAAAAGAAAAGCAATACAGAAAAGGCATCAGTGGACATCTGCAATTTCAAAGCACATCTAAACAAGCCCTTCGAGTGTAAATGTAATACCTCTGCCTCAAATGCACTCTCGTGCTAATTTTAATCTTTTGCTAAAAGGCTACAACTTTGCACTCATCTCTGTCTCTAACTGGACCTACTGGCCTCTTATGGTTTCCTACTGCCCTGCAGTAAGCAGTGACTTCTACAATAAGGTGTCTTTGACATGTAGGATGTGAATGACATCCTGGCTTCCTCTTCACTATGCTGGGTTACAGGCAAGATGGCAGCATCCATCAATTGAAATAAATAAGTCTTAGAGGACATAGCACTGCAGTAATTTTGTCACTGACTTTGCATCAGTCAGTTGTTTCTAGACTAATTAATTAACCTCGGACATTCATCTTTGTGGTTTCTATAGACAATGGTAAAGGAATGAGGTGCTTTAAGTCTATGAGAGCCGCACTGCTTTTTAACAGATACATATGATGAGTGGTATGGATTCAGTGGTTACACACTCTGCACCTAACTATGGTTGGTGAAATTGTTAATCGTCTGAAAGATGTCATAAGGGAGTGTGCTCTTCACACCCATCAGCCCGCAAGTGCAAGGTGTCATTCCTTTATATCTGAATTTGGACATTTTCCATCTACATGCAGCTAGAGAGGTGAGCAATGGGTTGTTTTTAAAGCTTTTTTTTTTACTGCTTGTTTAGAATATGTAAAGACTTTAAAGCGGCGTTCCACCCAAAGGTGGAAGCTCTTTTTTTCTGCCTCCTCCCCCCCTTTCCGCTGCCACATTTGGCACCTTTTGGAGGGGGAGCTGGTACCTGGTTTTGACAGGTACCCGCTCCGACTTTTAGCTCCATTCGCCGCAGCAAACTGAAGTGGAAGTTCTCCCCCACATGCAGCCCTCTGGGACACTTCACAGGTCACAGAGGACTGTGACCCATCCACAAAGTGAAGTGCGCTTTGCGCATGTGTAGTAGAAAACCGTCTGTGGGGTAGGGGGGGGGGGGGGTCGGGGGCCGGAAGTCTACTTTAATATTCAAAGTCTAGACATAAATGAGCTATAATGATCCATTTTTTATAGTTTGTAATTTTCAGTTGATATGTTTTCACTTTTGTTTTTTGTAGGATTCTCCAGGTTCCAGCTGCCTATTGTCCTGTAGATCCCAGTGCCCCATCCAATTTCACATCTTCACTCACAGATCGATGCAAAATTCGCTACATGTTGGTGGAAAACAACAAAGCTGATGTGAGCATAAAATTATAAAATGATAGAACTTAAATTACACTTTAACAACTTTGTGTGATGTGCTTTTCTCCTGTAGAAATCACAAAATTGCATATGCATTGATGGTTTTAAAGGATAAGTTCAGCTTTCATAGCATGTTACATGTTACACCCATATATTAGGGTGTAACATGTTATGAAAGGACCGGCCCCTGCTCCCCCCACTTTCACAGCTAGCAGAGATCTTCTCCCACTAGCTGTCAAAATGTAAAAAGAGCGTGGCCGTGGAGGACTCTGCCTGCCTATCCACATCACTCTTTTCTATTCTATGAATGAGAAAACTACAAGTCTCGACAGCCTTAGTGGCTGTCAGATTGTAGTTCATTGACTCTTCCTGTCAGAGTGTATTGGCTTGCTCCTATGGGATGAAATACTGACAGGTCTGCCAGAGACCTGCATGGCACCAGCGATCTGCTGACCGCTAGTGCAATGCTTTACAAGCTCCTGCAACAAAAAATAATAAATGCACATTTTTGTTTACCTGCAAAAAATTTACATTTTATTATTTTTTGTCAAAAGGTGAACTTATCCTTTTAAGCAGAAGTCCTCAAACTTTTTTAAAAAAAGTCCAGTTTATGATCCTTCAGACTTTAGGAGGGTCAGATTGTTGACAGTGGCAGTAGAAAATTCTGCAGAGTTAATTGGAATAAACATTGACCTTGCATCTGTGATCAGTGGAAGGAATAATACCCACTCTTGTGTTATTGGAAGAAACAATGCCCCACCAATGGCTGCAGAGGAAGAAAATGTTTCCCATTGTTTCTCAGAGGGAGGAATAGTGCCCCATTGTATGTATCACTGGGAGAAAAAGTCTAATCAAAGGTGTCAGTGGAAAGAATAGTTCCCCAGCATTGGTGTCAGTAGAAGAAATTGTGCCCTGTCATTGGTTTCAATTAAATGATTGGTGTCATTTGATGGAACTGTGTGCCCATGATTGCTGTCAGTGGAAGGAATTGTACCCACCATTGATGTCAGTGGAAGGAATTGTTTTGTCATTGATGACAGTAAAAGGAATTGTGCTTTGTTATTGGTGTCATCAGGAGAAGTTGTGCGCTGTCATTTGAGAGGAATTGTGTCCCATCTATGGTGTCAGTGAGAGAAATTGTGTCTCGTCTATGGTGTCAGTGGGAGGAATTGTGCCCTGATGTTGGTGTCATGTGGAAGGAATAACCTGCAGCGTTTCCCTCTCATTTTTTAGAAAATGGATTCTCATTGCTTCTAAGGCCCTTCATGCAAACTGGAAACAAAATGGATATGTATTTCTTTTAGGAAATTGCTGCAATGGGCCTTTCGCTTCCTTTTTTGTTTCAGATGTGATTTAGGCTTACTTGTCACATGCATGTGGAAATCACAATTGTGGAAGTGGAGCAGGGCTAAAACTGAATTCTGAGCATAAAGACTTGCATTTAAACGTATTCCGCAATGCCTTTGAAAAACTTAAATATTGCATTATAAAATAGGAGGTGACATCATTATTATGCTGAGAGCAGGGCTGAGAGAAAGTCCCAGCAGGTCCTCTTTGGACAGGCTGCCTGCAGAAAACTAGAGCTGAAGTGCCGGAGCTGTTTTGTGCTGAATTACATATTTCTAGTAGAAATACACAAGATATCATGATTTATGGTTGAATGCACGTTCTTATATTTTAAAAAAAATGTTTAGTTCAGCTTTTAGATTGCCTGCTCTATGATGCTTTTCCTTGTTTTGATACGTGTTATTGTAGGTGTTCAGACAGCTTTTCCCAAGCTGGATTGAAAGAGATTCCTCCAAAGTTCAGCATCTGGACATCACAATTTTTGAGGCTTTGCAAAGTGAGAAAGTAAATGATAAAGATACTAAAATGATAAAAGACCATGATCGGATTCCCAGTGCCCTGCACCCTCCTGCGAGACAGCTGTGTGATGAGTACTTAGACAGAGACCAATATTGCCTGGCATATGTTTTACACACCTCTGGGACCACAGGCAAACCCAAAATAGTCAATGTACCTCACTGCTGCATTGTACCAAACATTCATCATCTTGGGTAAGTTATATTCAGTCTGTTACCTTCATCTGTTATTTTTTTTACCACTGTAAATCATGTAGACACCAGTATGTTAGCAACTAGTAAAGTGGGCTTAAATGTGTTTTTGATTGGATTTTCAGGCAGGCCTCGTTTCAACTCGTGACAGGGGGTCTTAAAAAAAAGTGAAACTTAACCAAGGACAGATAGTACACATGTTGTGGGCCTAGCAAAAAATATACCCCAAAATCACATTACCGCCGCAATTCATTCAAGTAAATGGGGCTGGCTACAACCACCCAGCAATCATGGTTTTTGGAGCTAAAATCTGAAATTGTATTTAAGGCTTTTCCATATCTCTTTGTGTTACTTGGACATGACTGTCTCTCTTATCCCTTTGGACTGGAAATCATCCCGCTTTTTTACAGTATAGGCACATGCCAGTTTTTGGAGAACTGCAGATATGCCTAACTTCTCTCTTACACCCCATCCATAAGGTTAACCCCAGTTTCTACTTAAAGTGGTTGTAAAGGCTCAAGGCTTTTTACCTTTGTGCATTCTCAGCATGAAGGTAAGAAACCTGTGCACAGCAGCCATCCCCAATACTTACCTGAGCCCCATCTTGATGCAGCGATGTACACAAGAGCAGCGGCTCTCCAGGGTCTCTCCTTCCTTATTGGCTGGGACAGCAGTGGGAGCCATTGGCTCCCACTACCGATAATCACAGTCCGTGAGCCAATGATGAGAGAGCGGGGGGCGGAGCTGAGCCGCTCTCTGTGTGTGAATGGACAGAAAGAGCAGCGGAATAAGCCTTTAATATCACTTTAAGAGTCTTCCAAGCCATTCATTCTGAGGAAGCCAGGGAAGCCCTCTCAGACCTAACACTCATTCTTGCATATATAGAGATCCTGTCATTATGAAGAGCACACTGTCTGCATGGATTTTGCAGGTTCTCCCTGTGCTTGCATGGGCTTTCTCCCAAACTCCAAAGACATGCCGGTAGACTAATTGGCTCCTGGCCCTAGTATGTGTGTGTATGTATGTATGTATGCATGTATGTGAGATCTTAGATTATAAACTTCTTGAGGGCAAGGATTGGTGGGAATTGAAAGCACTGCATAAAATTGTCAACATCATATACAGTGGGATCGCTAGGGTTGGTGTCACCTGGTGTGACATTCGGTGAAGTCCCCCCCCCCCCCTTCCCCAGTTACATTTGGTGTGCGTCTCCCCTCCCTCTCCTCACCTACGTGGTTTGGCTCTTGATGTCCTCCTGGGTTTTCTCCATCTCAACTCTGCCGCTCTTCTCACACATGGAACCAGAAGATGGACTCTGCCCACCACTTCTACTTCACTCGGCACACCCTGTCAGTATCACCATAGAAACCGCCGGGAGGGTAAATGATGTGGTCCATGTCACTCCTCTGGCGGGTGTCACCCCAGTGCAGTCCGCACCTCCCTAACCCCCATAGCAACGCCACTAATTAAATAACGACCTGTAATCAATGAAAGCAGCCTCAAAAAAAAGCAAGCTAATATTAAGTGGAACTAAACCCCCCTATTGTTTTCAGCCAAGGAAGCTGCCTTCTTATCTTCTGTTTGATCTTCAACTGCCATGGTGCTGTGATAGGTATGACGTGATAGGTATGACGCCAAGCATTTGATGCTTTGACAGTTTGGTTGAGAGCACAAGCAAATGTGACAGTTACACAGTTACATTCCTGGCACATGCCTGGAATGTAACTGTTTATTGAACCTGTTATATCGATGGGTTTAATTCTGCTTTAATATATTGGTGAGGTGTGATATGCAGAGAAGTGTCCTCAAACATAGGAGCCAATAGTCACATTTTTTGGCAGTTAGTCATTGGGACACCAAAAATAACTTCACAGAAGGGGCTGCGGTATTTTTTTTTTCTTTTTTGTAGTTATTTTAAATGACTGTTTTGCATACAAATGCTGCTTTTTTGAGGGTTTTCATTCAGTTTATATGAACTGTGTCGACAGATCTTTATAATGATGTTTTAGTAATGCTGTTTTATTTAATATTAAAGAACTTTAGAGTCGTGATCATGTTTCTGAGTGATTTTTTAGCACATCTGAAATCTGAGTATGTGGGCTGGTTTCATAGCAACCAAAGGAAATTTTTTATTTCCTTGCCATGTTTTCTGTGGTGCTGTCAATACAGAAGCAGTGAAATGCCTCACATTGCCTCTATTATCAATCCTATTACATAACTTTGAAAGACGTAGAGCAGGGTTCCTGGCACATACTGTAAGTATACAGATGAAATCCATTTATGCAGTTTATTCTAACTGCAGAATGTTTGTATTATTTTCTTGTCATTTACACCTTCCTGACATACTGCTTAGCTAGACAAGTTACACTAAAACCCTAGGTATTATATTTGTCAAAGCTGCAGATTTAAAAATAGTGAAAATTACGTTTGAAATTACCTTAACATGTTGAAACTTGTTTTTAGTGTACCTATACTTTAAAAATACATTTAGCGTGACTCTGACACTACCAAATTTACAAAGCTCCAATGGAACTTTTCAGGCAATTAATATTGAGAACATATTAATAAAAATGTAATCTCTTTATTTGTACACCATGAATTATACAGTATACACACTTAAAATCATATAATGGCTGACAAAGTATTACATCCTGGTGATGTACAAACGTACATCACAGCACTACCCAATGTAAACCCAGTAAAGGGCCACATGACCATTTTTGTGTCGTATTGTATATTACCAGATAGCACTATCTCCCTGACTATGGGACCATGTGTATAGTCAAGCCTCTTACCTCAAACATACTAGTAATGGTTTTGGGTCGTCTTATATTGATACTTTCCTCAATTTTGTTAGTGATTCACACTGTTGCAGTTGCTTTGGGCTCTGCACATGCAGCAATTCCTGGTAGATGGGGAATAAGGTACCTGGATCTTTAGCTGATTTATATGTCATTGCATCAGACATATAAGTGGATACTGGTACTATGCTGACCTTGACGTGGTTGCACATTGCAAATATATTATCATATCTTATAGTTTTGTTGCAGGGTTGCATACACTTACCTCTGAGGAAGATAACATTCAAAACACATGGGATTATCCCGGCTGTGGTGACAAATATTGGAACACAATTGTAATTTGGTACCTTACAGGGTTTTTTTTTGGGGTATTGCTGTGATGTAAGATGGTAATACTTTTTCAGCCTTGATATGATTTTAAGTGTGTGTATATTTTATGCTGTACTAATAAAGAGATTATGTTATTTATAAAGCATAGGCAGTTGTAGTTTCTTGAAAAGTCCCATTGGAGCTTGGTATATTTGGTAGATAGTGTATGTTCGCTACAAATGGCCTTTGCTGCCATCTCTTGTTTCCAGTGATTTGATACTAATATTAAATCATGAAAGTCCACCTTGTAAAGAAAATGGTAAATACTTGCCCATCCTGTTGTCATCAAACACCTCTGTAATGAAGACGGCTTGCCACCCAAAGATCCTTTTGGAAACTGACACTTCTGGGAGTATCAATCTTCCGGTACCCTGTTGCTCTCAATCCCTTCTTCTGGCCCACTCTACATCACTGCTGTGTCTTGTGGGTGTAGAACCTGGAGATTTGACACTTCCAGACCTGTCTGTTTCTGGAGATTCTTCAGGTGACAAGCTTTCTTAATTAGATCTGTGTTCAGAGGCATGGGAAGCAGCAAGTAGAGATTTTTTAATAGTTTTTTTTTTTTTAATTCAATTTCAGAAATCATTTACATAAAGGTGATTTTATATTTGTTTGGGACTCCACTCTAATAATCTTGATTTGAGTTTTTTTTTTTTTTTTTATTTTAGATCCATCTTTGGTATGTCACCAGATGACCTTGTGTTCCTTGCCTCTCCTCTGACCTTTGACCCTTCTGTTATCGAAATGTTTCTAGCTTTGTCCTCTGGAGCCTGCCTACTAATTGTGCCAGAGCATCTTAAAATGATGCCCAGAAAATTGTTCCATGTATTGTTCCAGCAGCATAGAGTTACAGTGCTCCAGGTAAGGTACACAGCCTCCTAAAGGTAGATGACAAGAAAAAAGGCCATTTAACCTTGCGACAGAGCCCTTATCTATTCTAAATTCATTTTTGATTTACTGAAAGCAATTTTAGATAATTCAACCAAATTGTGTAAAAGAAGTGTACAATAAATTCACCATTGCAGCTTTGTGGCTCCTGCATCTGTATATACGTTTGCGCTGGCATACCTGTTAAAGCTTTAAGGCAACTACCTTGGTTTGAATCCTAGAGAATAAACCCAGTGAACTATTACACTGTGGAGTGCCCACTGAAATGACGGTGTGTAATGATGGACTTTAATTTGAATAAAGAAATTGTAATTCTGTAATAAGCGATAGGTGCTTATTACAGAACCCCCCCCCCCTTCCTCAGCAGCTGTCACCTTTGAATTTTGAGATCTGCAAATTATTGAACTACAAATCCAGTCTGTCTCTACAGCAGACAGACTTGTGATTATCACTGAAACCCGAGTGGAAGAGCAAGAATCTGTAGAAGTCCATCATTGCATTCATGATCCAATGCTTTGAAACCTTCATTTGCAAAAAAAAAAAAAAAAATTGCACTTTTTTTTTCTGCAAATGTGCATTTTTTTGCAGAATGGGAACTTAGCCTTTAACTTCCTGATCTTTATATAATAGTCCTGCATAGAACTTATTCATTGTTAAATGTATATCTAGGAAAATGATACATGCTTATAAGATATTTTGTAGAGAGGTGGTCGTTGCACACAGTAACAAGGATGAAGCCAGATGTAATGGACCCTGCTCCCCTCCCCACCCATGTAGTGTGCCTTCCTGTCCCCATGTATTGTGCTCTACTAACCCCAGGATGCCACCCTGACGCCCCCTGTACCCTGTTTATCTCAAGTTTGACCCAGAACTGAGTATCTGTGCAGAAAAAGCAAGTGCAAATTTCATATTAGCTAGGTACATTTTAATAATAATGAGATTATTTAATACTATTACTTGAAATAATGTTATATCAACAGCTCGCTGATCACACCAATGTTCTATGAGCTGTAGATGTAAAGATTATTTAAGGGGTTTCCCTGAGATCACAAATGTTTTTTGCCAAGGGTTCCTCAAAGGTAAAAATGTTGAGAAACCCTGATAGAAAGTATACAAAAAATAATCTGTAATTAGGTGCATGGAACTTATCAAAAGAGATAACATTCAATAGGGTAGTTTATTCAGTGTGAAGTTTCAGCAGACCCCAGCCTGCCCTTCTCATAACAAACTCCCTAATGACAAGACAAGCTTAAACCTCCAAAAAGTTCCTTCCATCATCACCCCCAGTTATGGCATCATACAGTATGTGCCATAATATACGTACAAGTGCAAAGAAAACAAAATACAGCAAAACTCAGATGAAAGCAAAAGTACGTACATACCAAAGGTAAATTCTGCATGCACATTGGGCCAGGCTGTAGACATTCCTATCTTATTCTTGAAAAAGCACTAAGCAAGCTTTAAAATATGCCCTCGCTGACCTGTGTAGCTGCAGGCACTCAGATTTTATAGTAGAAGCACTTAAAGTGGTTCTAAAGCTAAAACAATTTTCAGCCTAATGCATTCCCTGTATTAAGGTAAAATGTTAGGCCACTTGCTGTGTCCCATCCCCCCTCCTAAACACTTACCTGATCCCTGTATCGATCCAGCGCTATGCCCATCTATAGGTTTTACTCTGTCTTTCTGTTCTTATGGTTTGTGCAGCAGTGGGAGCCATTGGTTCCTGCTGCTGTCAGTCAAATCCTTTGTGCAGAAAGTGGGGAGCGGGACTGAACCACCAGGCTGTGTGTGTCTATAGACACACACAACTCAGCTTGGGAGCGTGCCCGCATGTCTGCCCCCATAGCAAGCGGCTTGCTGTGGGGGCAGACAGAAGAGGATGAGCAGAGAGCCCTGGGGGGGGGGGGGGGACCTCAGAAGAGAAGGAATATGGCCACTCTGTGCAATACTATCACACAGAACAGGTAAGTATAACATGTTCATTATTTTAATATTAAAAAATTGCATTTAGAAACACTTTAAGTAATTTAATTAGGCTTTCCCCGCAGTACAGCTTCCTCTCTTCCCTCTCCTAGAGATCTGGCTTTGTTTCCATTAGGATGCTAAATCACTGCTTGGAAAGGGGTACAAAAGCCCTAAGAGAATGATCTGAATTACTTCAGTGCTTCTGCTGGTATTTTTATAGGTTAATTGCTTCAGAGTGTCTGTAGCTAGAGAGATGAGTGAGAACATAAAAGTTCATTACTGCTTGGTAAAACATACTGTATATATTTGAATGTCCATAGCCTAGCCACTTCAAAGGCTTTTGTGAGTGAATAAATGCAGTGCGCTGTCAGGCACATTCAGTCTACATCAAAATCATTTTAAACCGGTTTTGCATTTGTTCCCACTAGCACAAAAAGACTCACATCTGCAAATGTGACTCAGGTTGCAATGACTTTCAGATTTCCAAAGATATTTAATCTATGTTTTAATTGAATTTATTTATATTTAGGCTATATATGCTAGAGAACAATAGTAACAAATAGGCTTTGCTCATTGAATGCTGCAAATAGACTTCCATATTTATATAACAATATCACTAAATGAACAGAGTAAAGAAGGTGGGTTCACAAGAAAACTAAACCTGACAGAAAAAAATATGACATGACTCCTAAGAAAAAAAATAGTAAAAGCTAATTTCTTTTTACCCACAAAGCAAGTGTGCATTTATTATTATTATTTTTTTTTTTTTTTTAAGGTGAACTTATCCTTTAATGGAGTGTAAATATACTAGTAAACGGAAATTCTTTTTGATCTTCACATTTTAAACCTTTCTGAAACTGGTTTTATTTAAGGAGTAATTTTGGCTAGGCTTTGGACATTCAAATATTTTCTTATTCTCACACCAAGCAGTAAATGATCTTTCAAACAAGCTCTCACTGCGGTACTGTGAAACCATTCATCCTCAAACTTTGAAGCAGAAGCGGGGAGGTCCGTCTTCAAGTCAGCTCAGCTTCCCCTGCTCCCCCTGCCAGCAGTGATTAGATTGAACAATATCAGTACTTCTTTTGTGAACTTTGAGGATAAATTACCTTCAGTACTTGCAGCAACAACGTGGAATTATTTAAAACCTAATTTTCTACTTGTTAAAATGTACGTCACGCCAAAAATGTTTTTTCCATTTTTTTGGATAGTGTTGGGAAGCATTGGCATTATTTTTTTTTTTACTGCTATCTAGGGCTCTGTTGGAGAAATCTACCCTTACTTCCTGTCTGCTGACAACAGGTGGTTTTAGGAATATGGAAATACTTGATTGTCCAAAGCCTAGCATAACCTAAATAAACAGGTTGCTTGTTGGGATACATTCATAAAGCATAATATAAGGGCTAAACTACTTATATTCCTGTAGAAAATGTTTCCAGCCTTCTTCCTGTACTTGTTTCATGACAAACAGGCATTTGGTTTCATGAAATCACATGATAGTTCTTCCTGTACTTGTTTCAAACAAACAGGCATTTGGTTTCATGAAATCACATGATAGTCTGAATTCTGAGCATCCTTTTCAACAAATATCATGTAATCTGAATTTGCAGTCATGTGATCATCCAATGAGGGGGCCTGGAGTGGTTTTTCACTGTAAATTGACATGGCCCAGGAAGATTAATATACCCTTAATATTTAAGGAATGGATCACAATAGGATTATAGTTAACTGCTTATGTTCCTTTTCAGGTGACACCAACCTTCTTGAGAAGATTTAGCTGTGACTCCATTCAGCCCTCAGTGCTGTCCAAAGAAACATCTCTCAGAGTGTTAGCTCTTGGAGGGGAGCAGTTCCCACCTGTCAGTGTCCTGAGACGTTGGATGGAACCTGGCAATAGGACACGTCTCTTCAACCTTTATGGCATAACAGAAGTGTCTAGCTGGGCCACATGCTATGAAGTTCCAAAATCCCTTCTTAATTCTCATGCACAGTATGTGAAATGTGTTTTTTTTTTTTTTTTGAAGTAATATACAATGTACTTTTTGAAACAGTAATTGGGCTGTAATGATTGTAAGGGTCATTCGACCCTAAACAGAAGCAGAACTAAAATCACAGAAATACCTCCTTGTTCCAGCGTGAAGCTTTTAAATATCTCACTGCTGTCACCTTCTCCGTGGCTACTGCAGGTTTTTGGCCTCTTGATTGGCTGGTCGGGGAATGATGTCATTCCACACATGTGCATGGGAGTCGTTATGATGTCATCCCATGTATGTGCATGGGAAACATATCATGTCTCTTCTGTAATAAAGAGCTGACTGCTCACAGCTTTTTTATTAGTTAAGTTTAGTTACACTTTATGTGGCTTATGCACACGGACACCTTTGGGAAAACAAATTGAAGGTGTATATCTGACCCTGGGATATACAGCTGGGCACAGCCCCATAGTAAAAAATGGCTGTATGCAGCTGTAGGTAGGTTTACACCACTATTATTTATTTCAGGTACTTATATAGTGCTGTCAATTTTACACAGCAATTTACATATATATATATTGAACATTCACATCAGTCCCTAACCCTCAAGGGGTGTACAATCTAAGGTCCCTAACTCACATTCATACATATACATAATAGGGCCAATTTAGGCAGGATCCAATTAACCTACCAGCATGTCTTTGGAGTGTGGTAGGAAACTGGAGTACCTGGAGGAAACCCACGCAGGCACAGGGAGAACATGCAAATTCCAGGCAGGTGGTGCCGTGGTTGGGATTTGAACCAACGACCCTAGTACTGCCAGGCGGAAGTGCTAACCATTTAGCCACTGTGCTGCACAACTTTCGTAAACCCACGCATACATAGGGGTTTACAGCCTTGAACGGTCTGCATCAAGGGAAGTACAGCTTCATGCAAGTAGTGATAAACCCCTCTTCAGTTAAGTAAAGCCATTCATTATAAAAATGTTAAGATATCTTGCGAGCCAAAATCAGAAAACCACCCTAACACACAAGACTGGACAAAATATGTCCTTAATATAATAGGATCGCAAACACCTAACACATACTACCACTGTGTATAATTAATATAATCCTATTGTGTTGCGCTCCTTAAAAATACATATGATCACTTATCCATGCCCAAAACATATGACCATATAAAAACAAAAAATGTATGTTTTTTCACTTGTTTTTATATGGTCATGTGTTTTGGGCATGGATAAGTGATCTTATGTATTTTTAAGGAGCGCAACACAATAGGATTATACAGCCATTCATTACTATGGAAGGCTGTACACAGCAGCTGTGCATCCTTGGCATTGAAATACGCATGCAGTTTATCTTGTGCACCCAAAAGCATCCCGTGTCATAAAGTGTCATACTCATTCAGTCACTATAGGGTTTGTTTTCTGTATTCTGCAAAAAAACTGGTTGATCCTTCTGTTCACTGTTCCTCCCTCCTTGTCTGTGTCACCACAGCAATTCTGAAATTGTGTAGATTGCCACATTTGTTGAGCATGCCCCGGTTTCAGTTACCTTCTAAGCTGTTAATTTCCACCTTTTTCTTATCTGAGCATCCCATGTGACTATAGAGGGACACATACAGTAGTAAATGACAGTCCACACTCCCTCCTCATCCTCCATGCCCACTAAACATCTAAACACATTAGGGGTGGGATATTACATGTTGATCGATGGAGGCATCACATCCCTGTAATTCTAAGCACATCCAAACAAGAGACACAGGTTGGAGGGCATGGAGCAAGCTGCGATTGGCAGAACCTCCCACACCATGTTTTTGCACAAAAATAATAAAGATTTGAGTTCAAGTGCATATATGATTTTAAAACATTTATTTAATTTTGGGTGTATATGATGTATGTATAGCAGACAGGCTGGGATAGAGCTGAGTCATATGACATTTGTATAGTGATTCTGAAAAAAAGTACTTAATTTTTTATTTTTTTTTATTTTTTTTTTAATAAATACAGTGCCATCATCTGTATACATAAATAGAAGGGATAATGTAAATTAAACAGTGCGTCTAGTATCACTTTAAAAGAGAAGTTTGAGAATAAAAATAAACATACATACTCTTAGATTGTAAGCTTCAAGGAGCTATCCCTCTTGTATTGAACTGTATTGTTGCTGTATTGTCTCCCGTTATATTGTAAAGCGCTGAGCAAACTGTTGGCGCTATATAAATCCTGTATAGTAATAATAATAATACTCATCAGTCTAATGCTGCATCTGTCCCCAGTTGACTCTAAGACTGAGAATCAAGTGAACAAAGATTGCTGAGTGCTCAAATCATGGTCTTCAGTAAACAGAGAGCGAGTGACTTTCAGTCACCGGCTTTTTGCTCTGCCCCTCCAGCGCTTGCTGGACCACTGGGAATGTGGGTGCATCCCCACTTTAAAGTCAGGATCTCTCCAGTGATGGCAGCTGACAGTGGGCTTCAGCCTGCTGTCGGCTGCAAACGGGTCACTGAAGTGCAGAGCAAAGTGCACTCCTGTGATCTATAGTAGAAGTAGGGCCAAAAGAGCTTCGACTCTACTTCTCCTTTAAGGGAATCTGTCACATCTTAATCTATCATTTCAAAGCCTCAAATGGAAGCAGCTATTCTCTGCATATTGGTTTCAGTAACTTCATTGTTCCAAAACTAGTATGCAGCCCAAAAAACAAAGCATGGCAGTTTCCAAGCAAGTCAAATACAATGCAATTCAGATGTTCAGTTCTATTTTATAGTCTGACCAGGTTCAGTTGGGGAATAGCAGTCCCAATATAGAGACTAATGAATATTAATATCTGACATTTCTGTTATTTTTATACATGAATTTGTAGATAACTATTTAAAAATTGGATGCCCAGTGAGTATTTATTTTTCTCTGTTAACATGATATAAAGCAGAACTTTAGCTTAAAAATAATTAAAAAAAGAAAAAAAGGTTAAAAGGTTTGTAAATATGCAAGCAGGGTTTTTTTTTCTGGAAATAGGATTAAAGTGTAATTAAACCTTTTTTTTTTTCTAAATTTTGGATGGAGTGGAGAGGGAGTAGACCACCTATCAAGTTATAGTGCTGTCATTGCCTCTGTTAGGGATTCACCCTCTGTTCTGTTTACTGTTTTATCTTTGAAAGTGAAATTATAAGAAAATCACAAAGTTTGAGTTGAAATCAGAAAAATAATAGAGAGGAAATCTTCCAATAGGGTCGCTAGTTTCGGTGACAAACTGGCATCTTGCTCCCTCTTTCTGTCAAAGTGATTGTGGTATTGCTATACCACAGGAGATGTTTATTAAGGCTGGATTCATACCTCTATGTGTTATCCATGCATTTTTGGTGAAGCATGTTTTTGATGTTTTTTCATCCTTCCTGCTTTTTTTTTTTTTTTTTCCTTGGTTGTTAAAAACAAAAAAATATACCAAAAACATTTGTCCTGTAAATCAATTGTCATGCATTTGTGTCATGCATTCCTGTGCTTTGGCAAACCTAAAGAAAAATGAGAAACCTAAAAAGCAACATTTAGATCAGTTAGGTAGGCTAAAAAGCAGCTTTAATTTGCTTGTCACAGACTTTAATATCCTGCTGCATGGAGATTGCCTATATGTAGACTTCAAAATGACCATGAAATACCAACTGCTAATTTAAAGTGGTTGTAAAAGTTTTTTTTACCTTCATGCATCCTATGAACGTAAAAAAAAAAACCTGTGTACAGCTCCCCCCCAATACTTATCAAAGTCTCATACTTATGCAGCGATGTGCAAGGGAGCCTTTGCTTTCAGGGTCCTCTCCCCCCTCATAGGCTGAGACTGCAGCAGCTCCTGCTGCTGTCAATCACAGCCAGTGAGTCATTGAGGAGGGGGGGGGGCTTAGCTGCTGCTCTGTGTGTGAATGGACACACAGAGCAGTGGCTCGGGAGCGAGCCTGCTTGGGTGCCTCCAAAGCAAGCAACTTGCTCTGGTGGTACTCGGCAGGAAGCAGGGGCCCAGAGCGCCAACGGGGGACCTGTGAAGAGGAGGAATGGGGCTGCTGCTCTGTGTATGAATGGACACACGAAGCAGTAGCTCGGGTGCGGGCCTGCTTGGGTGCCCCCAAAGCAAGGAGCTTGCTCTGTGCGTACTTGGCAGGAAGCAGGGTCCCAGAGTGCCAACAGGGGACCTGAGAAGAGGAGGATCGGGGCTGCTGCTCTGTGTGTGAATGGACACATAGAGCAGTGGCTTGGGAGCGAGCCTGCTTGGGTGCCCCCAAAGCAAGCAGCTTGCTCTGGGGGCACTCGGCAGGAAGCAGGGGTCTAGAGCACCAACGGGGGACCTGAGAAGAGGAGGATCGGGGCGGCTCTGTGCAAAACCATTGCACAGAGCAGGTAAGTATAACATGTTTGTTATTTTTTTGTAAAAAAAATTGTCTTTAATATCACTTTAAGTTTCTGTCTACCCATCCTTTTTTCTTATGCTCTTTCTTTTTTTTCTAGAAGTGATCCGCCAATACCTTTGGGCAGGCAACTGTGTGGAACAATAGTAGAAGTCCGAAATGAGGATAATGGCAAGATTGAAGAAGGGGAAGGGCAAGTTTTCCTAGGTACACAGAAAATGTTGTTTGGTCTGAGAATTGTTTTTAAGTAGTGTTCTCTATAGACAGAGAATATTTTGGTGCAAAGTATAGCTGCTTGTCAATATGCTAGATTTACTATTCTCCGTAAGGCTATATTCTCAGCAGATGCATTATTTTAATATGTTTTGAATTAGGTTTTTCATGTCCTGTGACTGCCCTGTGACTGTTATTTAGTCTCAACACCACATTGTGATTGGGACCTACTAGGGCAGCCCATACAGTATGCATTTTTGTTTGCTTCTTCAACCAGCTGGTCGAATTAAATTCCTCAATTCCACCATTTTAAAATTCCTCAGTTCACACATTTTAATGTGGATGGGGAATCCATCCCATTGTGCTAATGTGTTCTGATTCTCCCCGCCATTAGAATACAATGATCAGTGTTGCCAGCTATAGCTGGCGGCACTGATCTTTCAGGAAAAAATGTACAAGCTGGTTGTACATAAGTCGATCTAATCGGCTGTGGATAGTGTCTTAATTGTTAATTACAAGTGCTAGGTTCAGTCCTATGGATAAGCATGTCTTCTGTTTGTGAACATGAATGGAAATGTTGACTTTCCTTTGCTGTTTCTACTACATTTGCATTTTTCCCTACTTAATGACTTGCTGATATGATGCACCATGTAATGATTTGTCTTTAGTAAGGCTGATGTTTATATTTTATTGTTGTTCCTTGGTCCTGCAGGAGGGAGTCGGAGGGTTTGCTTTTTAGATGATGAATATGTTCTGCCCTGTGGGATGATGAGAAGTACTGGTGACTGGGTGAAGTTACAAGATGGAAACATGTACTACATGGGACGCAGGGACAACCAGTTCAAGCGTCATGGCAAGCTTAATACGGAGTATATACAGCAGGTATGGGAGGTGCCCAATGATAATGTTAAACTTATCGCTTTGTTATTACCCCATTAACAAATCCAGGCCATCTCATGTTTCCCTGTGCTGTGTTCAGGTTAGGCTCTTGACCTGTATGAAGTGAATGTACAGTAATTTTATTTGCTTCCAAGAAAAGTTCCATTTCACATCCTATTTGAACTTTCTCAAAGAAGATATTCAAAAAGTGTATTCAGTAACTTTTGGCTGAACGTGGATTTTTTTTTCTTCTTTATTAGACCTAATAAAGTATGGTAACTAGTGGTGATTGTTGGAGTTTCATTTTCCCCTACATATATATTTAATGTTTATTTAATTGAAGTCAAAGCATTTGGAGAGTGCAGAGATCTCTGAATACATAGAGGCCCAATGCAGTACCATATAAATACTACTGTACTGTGCTACTGGTTCTGTTTCAGTTAACTTTCACATGTGCATCTAAATGTGCCTACAGAGTTTAGAGACCCTTTTTGCTTTTTCTAGCATTTTCTGGTCAGTTTAGAGTCAGTTCTTATATCTGTAGGCCTTCCTTTAATGCCTGAGTCAGCTTGGGAAGAATTGATTTTTGCTTTTTCTGAGTTAGAAAACTATACTTATTTTCAATATGCTATGAATCTATCAGAAACAAATTGCAATAGATTTTCACAATTTCATTTTCAGGTAGTAGAAGAACTTGAACCAGTGGAGGCATGTGCAGTCATGTGGTCTAAAGCTGAACAGCTTATCCTCTTTATTGTACCAAGAGGGTCTGTAGACAAGAAAACCCTATGGAGAGCAGTGGAGTCAAATCTTATTAGTTATGCAATACCTGATGACCTCATTCTGATAGACACACTACCTCTTACAAAACATGGTAAAATACTTACCGTATAATTTACATTGTTGTCAGCTGGTCTTTTTGTTAGCAAGCATATAAGAAGTTAATCTAAAACCGCCCTGTTTGTTCTCCAAGAGAGAATAGGGAGTTTATGTGGAGGACCTTGCTCTATGAATGGACTTAGCTGTGTGGTATCCAGAGTTTCAAAATTTCCTATGTGTGAGCCATATTCAGACATTAGGCAGCTCTACGTAATAGAAAGTAATAGTTATTTTAAGCCTCAGTCCAAAGCCAAGACTCCTTCTTCGCTCCTGCCCCATAATTTAAGTTCGGACTCATCATCATGTACAGTACAGGACCAACAGTGGCCACTGGTCCTGCATTGTACATGATATTGGTGAGAGAGGTAGTGACACAATGGTAGAAGAAGATCGGCTTCAGGGGACCAGTCATCACTACTAGAACTGATGGGGAGGAGACCTGCAGGATCATGAATTAAGATAAGTACTTCTCTCTAGTAATAAGGATAAGTTCACTTTTCATAACATGTTATATGTTACACCCATATTCAGGGTGGAACATGTAACTTGTTATGAAAGGACTGGTGCCCGCTTCTCCCTGCTAGCTGTCAAAGTGTAAAGAAAATGCAGCCGCCCAGCCGTGTCACTCATTCACAGTATTCTGTGAATGAGAAAGCTACAAGTCCCGACAGCCTTGGCGGTTGTCAACTTGTAATTTTAAAATAAACTACCATAGTGCTGTGGTACTTCATTGATTCTTCCTGTCAGAGTGTATGGGCAAGCAGATACACTGACAGGTCTGCAGGAGACCTGCATTGCACTAGGGATCTGATGATTGCCGGTGCAATGTTGTTTTCCAGGCTCCTGCAACAAAAAAAAATAAATTAACATTTTTTTTTTACCTGCAAAAAAATGTGCATTTATTATTTTTTGTCGAAAGTTGAACTTATCCTTTAAATAAATTAATAGCATGTCCTGCATATGCAGGGGGCAGTATTAATCTGCCTTGCCATCTATTTAAAGAAGAACTCTGGGATGATTATTAAAACTGTCATAATTTTACACTGCATTTTCCTCAATCCCCTGGGTGTGGGAGGAGGTGTCTCCAAAGCGGTGGCATCACTTCCTGTTAGGTTTTGTTGCTGTTTACTGAAACTAAACATCCCATCACGCCCTGCGATTTAGAGTCTGAGTGGTCCAGACTGTGCATGAGTGTGCGGTGGATCAGAAGTGAACAGGATATGAGAGGGACAAAGGACTTTACAGTGAACAAAAATTGCTGGATTTGTAGCAGGCTGGAAGACTGTTCTCTGTAAGACCAACACATTTATTTAAAGGTACAGAAGCACCTGTATACATATATCATAACATTTCTGCCCAGTTCAGCTTTAATACTGTAAGATACCTTTGTGTTATTAAAAATAATAACACATTAAGTAAAATTCATCAATATGTGTATTTTGTTTACATTTCTTTGTGCATTTGTCAGCCTATAATAAAAATGGAGTAGGCCATTTTAAAATTATATAATTTGTAACCAAATAAAAGCCTTATATCCTTATATAACCTTAAAGCAATATACAAAAAAAATGTTTTAGTTATGCAAATTCGTCATAGTGTCATTGTTAGGTTAACCAACACATACGGATTCTACCACATTGGACTGAACATCTAGACATAAATTACCTCTGGTCACGCAAGGGTGAAAAAGCAGGTTTAGACTGTATATGTGAATACTGGCTGGTGAGCTGCTAATATCAACTTATTAGTACCTTTGGCCACCTTTTGCAGTAAAAAAAAACACTTACTTTGTTTACATTTCCCTAAGGTAAATTAGACTCTTCATGTTTAAGTCTATTGTATGATGATCACGTGAGGGAAAATAGGAGTAAACCCAAATCCCAAACAGGACATGATTTCTGGAAGAGCTTGCAGACTCTGTGGAAGGTAAGATTTAGTTTATATGGTTTCTAATTTCCAGTCAGGTGTTTTGGTTCTTTGGTAAATGATAGCCTCTCTCGGTCTTTGTAGGCCAGTCTGGGTTTTCCTGAAGATGTTCCAGATGTTGCTGAAGACTCCATGTTTCTGCTCAGTGGTGGAGACTCTTTGAAGGCAATTAAATTTCATGAAGATGTGGAGCATTTGGTTGGTAAACCTGTGCCAGGACTTCTAGAAGCGATACTCAATGACACTATTGTGGCTGTTTGTAGACATGTCATTAGATCTATATGCCCAGAAACGGAGGAAGATAAAACCAAGGTGCATGCAACAGCGATAGAGAGCAATCATATTATTGTGGATATAAGCACCAAGCATCGCAGAAAAAAGAAAAGCAGATTTTCTCAGTACTTCAACAGCAGGCTTCACTTTTCTCCTATCTCTGAGCAAAGGTAGCCAGTGCTTTAAACACATATATTCATACATTGAATCAACTGGACAGCAGTGTCGGGTAATACCTGGATCCATTCAGGACTTAGATTTGTCAGAGTTCTTCAGTCCAGGGCACAAACAGTCAAAGGCCTTCCCATTCAGTACATGGACATTGTCTTTGGGGCAAAGATGGACATCTGATACAAGTAAATGTGTTGATGCATCTCCTCTCCTTGTCTTGTCATCCAGTGAAAACTCCACAGGGACTCTATACATTGGGTCCCATTCACACAGAATGCAAGCTCTAGATCTGCACACTGGAACAGTCAAATGGGAAAGAATACTGGGAGATCGTATTGAATCCTCTGCTGCGCTGTCTGCATGTGGAAGCTATATTATTGTTGGTAATAACAGCATTCTCTTATTTTAACAGAATTCTGAGATTTAAATAGAACCTGTAATGGTTTTGCATCTGTTTTTACATTACATTTTATCATTTAAAACATGGCAAAATATTTCCAAAGCATTATTGGGTAAAGGCCAAGTTCATCCTTTGCATAAACTGGCCCATGCAGACAAGAGGCCCCAGTATTTTAAAATGCACTGTTCCTGTGTAAAAAAAAAAAAAAAATGCAAATACCTTATCTGTAGACCTTTTTTGTCATTTGTGATCCTGGCCGAAATACTTCCAATGTTTACATTCTTCGTCCTGACTTATTTCCAGGACACATCAGATGTTGGTCACTTACCCCAGCATTACAGTGCTTCCTGATTTGAAAGCCACTCACACTCCGTGCATGCTTTCATTCACCCTATCCTAGTAATGGCTAAGCTCAGCATTCCTGGGATAGGTAGGGAGGGAGTGCACTGCGCAGGAGTTGCTTTTCAACCTGAAAGCATGTTTGCACCTGTGATGCTGGGGCAAGTGCCCAATGGCTGGCGTGTCCTGGAAATAAGTCACAAAATCGGAATGCATTCAGTGGGAGTATTTCAGACAGACTTCAGCGGTGACAGAAAAGGTCTTACAGGTATGACATTTTCATTAAACATTATTTTTACAAACTGCACAATGCATTTTAAAATACTGAGGCCCTTGTCTGCATGGGTCAGTTCATGCAAAAGGTGAACCATTCAATGGCACAGCAGAGAAGCCTGCGTAACAGCTTTCTTTGGTTACAATTTGGTACTGAGTACTCTGATAAGGGACGTATCATTGCAGTGCTGACTAATTGGAGCTGGTAAAATAACAGGCACCGTTCAATACAACTTAAAGCTGAAATAGCCCAATATGTGAAAAGGGACTAAAGCCCCTGAGCTGGATGGACAGAAGACTCCAAAATATTAGTATATAATTTTGGACAGTTCAGAAGAGATGGGCTGAGATTCGATCCATCTATGGGCAGGCAGGTTGCATTGAAGGCAACCCATCGATCAACTTCAGAACAACCAGTCTATTGGATTTTTTTAATGTGATTTACTGTTGACAGCTATAGCCACCAGACATGATCTTTGTGTTCTGCCAATAGGGAAGGCTCCCCACTGGCAATACACAATAGCACTGCCCCATTAACACTGAATCAAGCAATTTTTTCTTTTCTGTGACCCAAGGTTGCAGGAAAGAAAATCACATCATCTACGGCATGTTTAAGAACATGCTCTTTAAGCTTTGTCTGTAGTAAGTTGGACATTGAAGTGGAATTAACCAATCCACTCCAGTCTTTACAGCTGTCTTAGTCACTGTATATCTGCAGTTGCCATTGTGCTGCACAAATGTATCAGTTAAGGGCGCCAGCCATATGAAGGATTGAAAGTTTGACTGAGAATTGTTCTTCTATAATACACTTCCCTATATCAAAGCCAGAGAAGGAAACTGCGTGCACACAACCTGAGTGACTTTTACTTTTGTGGTACTTGGTGTAAACTGGAAGAATGGAGTATCATTTCCACATAACGCACATATCACCACTATCCATTGATTATTGTAGGTGCTCTAATTGCCACTGACATTAATGACAACTGGGGTTTACACTGATGACAAGATTAAAAGCCAATCAGCCCATTCCATGACCATAGTGCATTGCCTGTTATAAGCTAATAAATCCATTAAGATCTTATGTACATGGGTGCTCTGCCTTCTCATATGCTACATTTTTTTTTAACTTTGTTAACTGCACACGGAGCAGAGCTCAGCCAGAAGAGCCTTCACACTACAGATAATTGATTATCCTAACCCAAGACGTACAATAATGCTAATTGCAAATTTCTTTTATTTATGCAGGTTGCTATGATGGCGGTGTTTATGTGCTGAGGAGAAGCGATGGGGCAACATACTGGGTTTTCAGTACTGGGGATGCTGTGAAGAGTTCTCCTGCCGTTGATCCCGTGTGTGGTCTTATATATATTGGATCACATGACCAGCATTTATATGCTTTAGACATTGAAGTATGTATTCTTATCTATTGAATGCTTATTGTGAATCATACCGTTTTACTGCACATGCATATCATTGTTCTAAAAGCCTCTGATTTTCTTAGAAGGAAAAATGGAAGCTGAAGGATATTACATAGGGAGTAGATATACAAATACAGTGAGCGCTCTCAATAGTTAGCAGCTGAGCATTCAAGGAAAAACATATAAAAAGTCCCAAAGAATATATAAAAAATGCTGCGCTATTTGATGTTGTTATGCTATATGCAATTAGATGCAAATGGATATATGAAATAAAATAAATTATATCAAATCACAGTCCACAAGAAAAAGTGCTAGTTGATTCCCAGTGCAGATGGTAGGAATGCACACTAACCAGAAGCGTATTGGTAATACGCATATGTGTAAAATATCCTGAAGATTCCCCTCTTTTTTTTGGCCTGGTCATGGGTAGAAGCTGGAAAATATGAAGATGAAGCGCCCTCGTGTGGAGAAGATGAGGTCCGACAGGTCAGAGGAATCTTTACCAAGATGTATTCCCCCTTCTCCCAGGAGCTGGTACAGAGATCACTCTGGGGCCTTTAAATATAAAATCCACGTGGCACCGGCGGCGTAGTGTCAAGGTGTCCTGGGCTCCAACTGACGCGTTTCGTGCGCACGCACTTCTTCAGAGGTAGAGCTGAGGACCCAGAGTGATCTCTGTACCAGCTCCTGGGAGAAGGGGGACTACATCTTGGTAAAGATTCCTCTGACCTGTCGGACCTCATCTTCTCCACATGAGGGCGCTTCATCTTCATATTTTTTTCAGCTTCTGCCCATGACCAGACCAAAAAAGAGAGGGGAATCTTCATGATATTTTACACATGTGCGTATTACCAATACGCTTCTGGTTAGTGTGCATTCCTACCATCTGCACTGGGAATCAACGAGCACTTTTTCTTGTGGACTGTGATTTGATATAATTTATTTTATTTCATATATCCATTTGCATATAGCATAACAACATCAAATAGCGCTGCATTTTTATATATATAAGGATATTACATAACCTGGTTTCCTATGCTAGATACTTTGTGAATTCCTGATTCCTTGCATTCTGATAAGTAGTTAGCCTTTCATTAGAAAACGTTAAACTGAATTCTGGGCAGAAAAGCTTCCACTTAAATATATTCCTCTATAGCCACAAAGGATATAAATTCACATCGTATCCACCAAATGCTTTCGCAAATCCTGATATTGCCTTGTAAATTTGACAATGAAATTATCATTGTGCTCCATTATCCTGTGCAGAGATGGAGGAAGGACACAGCAGGTCTACCCACTACAGGTCTGCCTACAGAAAACTATGGGGGCTGGGGGCCTGATACAAGACTATTCACTCTACTAAAGGAGAGAAAGATACACCAGCTAGTGTTTATTAAAGGGAACCCTTGTACAGGAGTTTTTTATGCTGGCTTATTGCACAGCTCTATGGAAGAACTACAAAGGATGCTAAAATTCCAATTAGGAATGTGCTTGACTTTATGAACTACAGTTTTAACCACTTGCCATCCGGCCGCTGTATATAAACGGTCGGACGGTGGTGGCAATCTTTGGGCGGGTTGCCGTTCATAAACGGCGAACGCCATTTTGGACTGTGCGCGCTCCCTGGGAGCACGCAGCACTGCGATCCGGTGCCCGCTGTGTCCTCTGGACACAGTGGAACACAGATCGTCATACAGGACCTCTGTGCGAGGTCCCGATCATGTGATCACTGATTGGCCAATCGATCACATGCAGATTAGTAAGCAAGATGTCACTTTTGACATCATTGCTTACTACGTGTGAAATCTGTGAATGATCACAGAGGTCACATGGTACAAGGCTATTCACAACAGCCTTGTACCATGTGACAAGCTGTGACCAATCACAGCTCACACAGTAGTTCTCAGTGGCTGCAAGAATGCAGCCAGAGAGGAGAAATGATTGCTTTTACAGCCTTTATGGATGTAAAAGCAATCAGTGTAAAAAATAAAAAAATATCTTCATCACCCCCCACAAGTAGTACAGTGTCACCATGGTGACACTGTACTGCTAGGGTCACAGTATGTAGAAAAAAAAAAACCCATAAATAATAATATAAAATAAAAATTTAAAAAATATTTTTTAAAAAATTATAATTTTTGGTTATAAACTAATTTGGGTTATTTTTTTTTTTACTTAAAAGATAACTGAATACATTTTGGCCAAGATTTATGTTGAAATATTATTTATTTGCAAAATTTTATAAGAAAAACACTTTTTTTCAAAATTTGTGGACTTTTTCATTTATATAGCAAAAAAAATAAATTTTTCCAGTGGTGAATAAATGCCACCAAAATAAAGCTTTATCTGTCTAAAAAAAAACACAAAAAAATTCATATGGGTACAGTGTTGCATGACTGTGCAGTTGTCATTGAAAGTGTGATAGTGGTGAAAGCTGAAAATTGGCCTGGAAGGGGGGGGTAAAAGTGTCCGGACTTGAAGTGGTTAAAGAGTCACTATCACCTTGCCTATGCAAGCCTTCCCAAACACCCCTACAATCCATCACCTTATGATTCATCACTGCTCCCTGCTCCTGCACAGCTAGTACTGAAATAATTGGTGTTGACCAGCTGGGGGGCAGTACTGTCACTCCCCTCATCATGTGACAGTACTTGGGGACTAGCTATTGGCTGCAAGATCTGAGTGTTATCACAGGGAAGGAGGTACATGCTCCTCTGTACTGAGGATTACAGGTAATGTGGATGGCTGAAAAGGAGGAAGGAGTGGTGGGGCATGCTGGTAAGGTAAATACAGCGGGTAAAATAAGTATTGAACACGGCACTATTTTTCTCAGTAAATATATTTATAAATGTGCTATTGACATGAAATTTTCACCACATGTCAGTAACAACCCATGTAATCCATACATACAAATAAACCAAAACAAATATGTTCAGAAATTAAGTTATATGTAACAAAATGGCATGACACAGGGAAAATTATTGAACAATCTAACTGAAATGTATTAATACTTCGTACAAAATCCTTTTTGGTAAATGACAGCTTCAAGACGCCTCCTGTATGGAGAAACTAGCCGCATTCATTTCTCAGGTGGGGTTTTGGCCGATTCTTCCACACAAACAGTCTTCAAATCTTGAAGGTTCTGTGGGCCTCTTATATGAACTCTGATCTTTAGTTCTTTCCATAGATTTTCTATTGGATTCAAGTCAGGTGATTGGCTGGGCCATTCTAGCAGCTTTATTTTCTCTTTCTTTGAAACCCATTGAGAGTTTCCTTGGCTTTGTGTTTGGGATCATTGCCTTGCTGAAATGTTCACCCTTGTTTCTTCTTCATCATCCTGGTAGATGGCAGCAGAATGTTATCAAGAATGTCTTGGTACATTTTTCCATTCATCCTTCCTTCAGTGATATGAAGTTTGCCAGTACCGTATGCTGAAAAAACAGCCCCACACCATGATGTTCCTGCCTCCAAACTTCACTGTTTGTATGGTGTTTTTGGGGTGATGTGCAGTGCCATTTGACCTCCAAACAGTTTGTGTATTATGGCATCCAAAGAGTTCAATTTTGGTCTTATCTGACCAGTCTATATTCTCCCAATATTTCACAGGCTTCTCTAAATGTTGTGCAGCAAACTTTAACCACTTGCTCTCATGAGGATTTACCCCCCTTCCTGACCAGGCCTTTTTTTTGCTATTCAATGCTGCACTATTTCAACTGGTAATTGCGCAGTCATGGAATGTTGTACCCAAACGAAATATACATCCTTTTTTTCACACAAATAGAGCTTTCTTTCAGTGGTATTTGATCACCTGTGCGTTTTTTATTTTTGTGCTATACACAAAAAATTCCCAAAATTTAAAAAAAAAAACAATATTTTTTACTTTCAGCTATAAACAATATATAGTAAACTCAAAGTTAGTCATATGTAATATGCTTTGGCCCACAATCAAATTGCACAAATCCTTTGTGAAAAACAGCTCCATAAAATCAAGGGGAGTAGTTAAATTTGCTATTTCCACCCCAATTCCAGGTTGGGCAGTGAATGGGGGAAGTACGGATGCTGTAGAATCTGTGGGCTGCCAATCAGGATTTGCAAGACACTAGGGGCTCTACGGGCCTGTGTGTGAATTCTTGGTGGCTGTAGGACACTACTTGTACTAGCCACCGCACCAGCTTGTACTGCTGGACTCGCCATGTCACCAAGTGATACTCGCCAGTACTGGTGCTCACCAGTTCACAAAAAGGTAGTGCGGCACTAGTACTGGCACTCTGCTGCATATGACAGAAGTTATGCAATCTTAGCACTTCAGCTTCATGGGGTCTGGTATGCCTGATCTTAACAGGTACATCATCCAGGCTACCTCTCAGGGTTCCGCTGCTATCTACAGGTTCGTATTCTGAAGCAGATACTATCAGAGAGGCTTCCCCTTCGCTCTTATCTGACATGCTCAGAATCCTGTAGGCCTCTTCACTTGTGTACCTTTCGTTGGACATTTTGGACTCTAAATTTACAGGTACCTAGTGCGACTTACAGGAAAAAGAGCGCCTGGCTGTCAGGGACTGCTTGAACTGTTACCAATAAAATTCACCTGCTAGTGCTGGCAGAGATCAGGCCCGATTCTGCGAACACTGCGATTTTGTGTGCAATGACAGATCAGAAATTATACTGACACTGCACTTCTTGTTAGGGGTGGGGGGAGCATTGGGGCTAAACGCTAGTGCAGGCAATGAACGGGGATGATCCTGCTAACACTGCGTTTTTGAGGACACTAATACTAAGAGGCACTGGTATAGTTTTGTTCGTGATCAATATATTGATCCGTACAAACACTATACTAGTAAGGATGGTGATCAGCAACCTATAGCGTGAGTGCGATAGTGTTCGGGCAATCTAACGCTAGCTGACCCTAGCTGGGGGGACGCTAATTGACCCTGGCGCTATCTCATGTCGCTAGTGGCACTAATACAGTGATCAGTGAAAAATACTGTACA